TGCTGACTGAGCAGCTCACAGCCCACTCCGAGAAATGATTCCCACTTGAGAAATCACCATTTCCTCTGCATTTTTCCCTAAAAAACTCCAGCTTCTTTCCTCTCCTCCTGCTGGCCCACTTGCACATACCAGAGCACTGCTTGACCTGGTCCCACCCCAAGGATGGGGCTTGGTGAGGGATTAAAGTCTTTTGGGCGGCTGATGCTTCTCACCTCCATCCCAGAGCGGTGCTTGCGCAGGAGGGAGCAGTTTCCAGTTGCTTTCCCTCCTTTCCAGGGCGGTGTGGCCTTGTAGTTACCCTGGCAGAAAGTTTAATCTTCTTGAGACCATGAATATTGTTTACCAAATTCTGTACAGAAATACGCTTCCCTCGAGGCAGCAAATTTAGCTTAATGACAATGTAAGGTTAGGGGAAAAATATGTTCTTATCGCTACACTTAATAACAGCTGTGATTATCAGGAGCGAGGGCATTGTAACAGTTGAATGGGTCTGTCACTCTTTCTGAAGCATGCTTCCTTTTCTGCATTTCTCTCAACTGGCACAATTAAATCGGGTCATCCAAACTAGACAGCGGGGTTGTGTCACCGTCCAAATCAGACAGCAGGATTGCGTCACCCTCAGGCACCGGCCCAGCACATCGCCTGGGCTACAGGCACTTCAGGGCACTAGTTGCTCGGAATCTCCCAGTTTGTGTTTGTCCAATTAATCAATGTCAGTTGTGAATTCTGAGAATTTATTTTTTTTAGAATATCTAATACGGGGGCTAGAGGTTGGGCCTAAAATACAACACACCTTTAAGGCCTGGGCCCTTCCTGCTTGCTAGGGGAGTACTTGCTAGCTCTTCTTTGGCCAGCACATGAGGAGTTTCCCTTCCCCTGGAAAGCCAGGCACAGGGAGGGCTGGAGCACATCCATGGCTTGCCCCAGCATGGATGGAGTCAGATCATGGCTGTGTGTGCACCTGGACTCAGAAAACATATGAGTTACAGGGTTTCTTAACCTGAGCATACAGAATCTTAATCAGACCCTATACAAATCCTTACACAACTTAAAGTTTTAAACATAATGGGTTTTTTCTCTGGTTTCTGGATCATTGGGTGATAAGGGGGGGAGGGGGGCGGGGGAAGTATTTTGCAATGGCCGTCACTTTTTCACGCACTGCAATGGGAAGGACAACAGATTTCCTCAGGTTTTTTTTTCAAAATAGTAAATGTGGATATTCTTTAAAACAATAAGAAAGTTTATAGAAAATGTCAACTATTGTGAGAATTGTAAAAACTAGAAAAACTTGGCAATACTGCAGTGTCCCAATGACATCTCTACGCCCCTGCGTGAAAGCCTTGCTAGGAGCTTTCCCATTTATCCAAGACACACACTCATGAGCACTGTATGGGGTGCTCTGCATACAAAATCATCTACAAGACATTACAGACTGGCTCAGAAGTTAAGCCTGAATCATATGGCAATAAACAGATCCCATTGATGCAAAGGCCAGAAGCTATCATCCCACCCAACTGTCTGCATAACCCAGACTACTCACTCATTGCAACCTTTTCACTGAGATTTCAAACGCCAGCGCAGAATCCAAGCATAAGCCTTTCTTCCAGAATTAGCCAAATTAGTCACAGCATCCACTGTGTTGACAAAGAACTTCAACCAAAAAAACCATAGCACCAGAAAAACACACAAAACACTGAGGCTGAGCAGCTGAACAAAGCTTCAAGCCTTACTGATCACTTCTTGTTGTAAAGGAGGACTGATAAGCTGTAATGACAATGACAGACAAAAATAACTGGCCTAAGAGACTAGCAGTTGTAAATAGATACCTCTTTGTGTGAAACTGAGCTCTTAAAAAGGTTATAATTTTTATACTCAACATTTGCTCTTGGCATTATTGCTTTGAATAGCAACAATAACGGTAGTGATGAGCCTAAAGATATGAAAATTCAGAAATAATTTCTTTTTTCTCTTTAAAAATTGAAAAACTGGGACCTTAGAAAGTTTCAGTTTAAAAAAATAGGACTACGAAAAAGCCTGGAAGCAGTCAGCCAGGAGATGTGCTACATCTCCTGCGTATGGCACAAGACAGTACAGGGTATTCAGATTCACTGGATTCATTCCTTTCGATGGAGAATGCTAACAAAAGGCCTTAATGCCCTTTTTCAGATGACAGCATTAGAGTAAAAAAGAAACGGGTGTATTCTGTCCAGCTTCACTGCACCGGCAGGAACCTCACCATATAGAAGCACCAAGGAGAACAGCATTTCAAGCTATGAGTCTAATGCCTAGCACATATTAAATGCAATCTCAGCGTTGACTGATGTAATGTCATTT